GGTGGCTACAAAACTTGATTGCAATGGCTTGTCTCTCTAATTTGTCTAAATTGCTCCATTTGAAAATTAAAAATGCAAATAAATTATAAACCAATTACTCAAAAAGCAAATCTACACTGTACGAAAAGTAGAGTAACTTCGGCATATGTATGTGTGCGCGCATTCAGTCATTCATGCGTGTTTGCTTATCTGCTGATTAGTATTTTTTAACCATGTTGCCTGTTGGCCTAGAGGTCCGTGGGCCAGACAATGGGCCAAAACGGGAGCGTTGCGTGTGAGACGTAAATTAGCGTTTCATTAGAGAACAGGTGAAATTTGTTCACAATGTTGTAGTTGAATTGGCCGGTTGAACAGGTTGTTGTTGTTGTTGTTGCTGTTGTTCGCTCAGTCGCTAATGCCGTGTCCATATCCGTGTCCATGTCCGGTCGGTAGCTAAAAATAAAACATATAAAGGCCGCAAATTAGTTGCATTACTTGATTAGAGCCGCGCAAATGCTGTTATTAAAATTCAATTTCCTTTACGTGCAGGCGCGCATTGCATGTCTAATCGAGTTTAACAGGTTTTCCATTTATCACAAAAAAAAGGGGAACACACACAAATAGCAATAGAATAAGAATTTTTCAATGAAACTCTGATGTGAATTCTATTTAAATGTTATCGAGAAGCAAGCTGGCTGCCTATCGTTATCGAGCTGTCAGTGTTGCACAATGTCAGACATCATAGAAGTATTGTTCAGTAACAACTGCTCTACATGCTTCTGATGAGTTGAATTTTCATTTGAGACTTCTCACTCAAACTAAAATAATCAAAAGGTTTGAAAACTTCAACAAAAAAAAAAAAAAGTAAAAATTAAGGAAAAAATCTTGTGACCACAAAATTTCTACTATTTTGAGATCTAATCGAGGTTTGTTGAACGGACGTCGCCGTGTGCATAGTACCACTTAAATTTCGCAGTTTTTTTTTTCGCAGATAACCAAAAAGCAGGGAAGGCTTCAAGATGTCAGATCGCAAGGCAGTGATTAAGAATGCTGATATGAGCGAGGAGATGCAGCAGGACTCGGTCGACTGTGCCACCCAGGCATTGGAGAAGTACAACATTGAGAAGGACATTGCTGCCTATATCAAGAAGGAGTTCGACAAGAAGTACAACCCCACCTGGCACTGCATTGTCGGCCGCAACTTTGGCTCCTATGTGACCCATGAGACACGCCACTTCATCTACTTCTATTTGGGACAGGTGGCCATCTTGCTCTTCAAGAGCGGCTAGACTCAACATTGGGGCATTCACACCACACCGAGACGTTCCGCACATTCGATCGGAAGGAGAGCCCCAAAACTAACCTGAAAAAAAAATGAATAAAATAAAATACATTCTGGATGAGACAAACACAAACATATGACAAATATCTGTTTAAATTACAATTCATAATTCTCCCAAAAATGGTCTTTTTGTAAAGCAAAATTCCATAAATTTCTGTGCAATTTCACACTCAATTCAAATTATAATAAAGGATTTTTTGTTGAAAGGGAAAGAAGTCGTAGATGAATTTATTTATTTATTTATTGTAAAAATGTTGATGGGCAAAGAGCTTGGCCAGTGTTGCCACCTAGTTCACTTGCGTGAGGAAATATCAAAAATCATGTTTAGCTGTCAATCTGTGAAAAACTTTTCACATCTCCAGAAATCTCGATTTCCATTTACCTTAGATTTATCAGTCAAATTGAAAGCAATACCAGATTCCTATTGAACAGCACAAATTTGTGATAAAACAAAATCGGAAAGCTGCGTCCGTTGGATATATTTCACAGTCAGAACGACCACAACGTAAGTCAGTCTATTCACAAGAAGGAGTGGGTGTTGCTCAATGCCAGCGCTCTTTTACAGAAACTGTTGAAGGCGATTGCATAGCACAGCCCCAAGATGTCCGACCGCAAGGCAGTCATCAAAAATGCGGATATGAGCGAGGAGATGCAGCAGGACGCTGTGGACTGCGCTACCCAGGCACTGGAGAAGTACAACATCGAGAAGGACATTGCCGCCTACATCAAGAAGGAGTTCGACAAGAAGTACAACCCCACCTGGCACTGCATCGTGGGTCGCAACTTTGGTTCTTATGTGACCCACGAGACGCGCCACTTCATCTACTTCTACTTGGGTCAGGTGGCCATCTTGCTCTTCAAGAGCGGCTAGAGCCGTGCAGAGCCAGTCAAAATATAACTCTACACTTGCCTAATTGTTATTGAAGCTGCACACACACACACACACACATACTTATAAATGACACACTCTTGACATTATCTTGCAACACTTAACGCAACACACGAATCTATGGAGTGGCAAACGCTATATCGTATCAATTCACCTAACACTGGGAATGCTTTCACTTTAATTTACATGATTCGATGATGATGACTCACTCAGCTTTCGATATGCATTAAATCAACTACATCAGCAATAGTCTGAGTTATTTTTGTAGAGTCTTTGTAAATGGGAATTATGCCAATAAAGACGAAATTTTGTATAGCCTGAATCCATGGAAGATATGAAGTCAAGGTAAAGTATTTTACGAAAATGGATAATGGAAGACGGACTTCGTTAAGTATATATATTCTTGAAAAGAATGACGACCCAAGTCAGTCTGAGGTTATGTGTTAGCTCTGTATAATTGGCATATAGAAATTGATGGTCACAGCAGCTCTCCGCAGGAGTTATGTCTAAGTCGGGCACTGCCCATTATAGCACCTATTTGAAGCTGCCGAGCTTTTTGGGCAACGCTGGCTCCAATCATTTACGAAGGCACAAATAAAAGCCAATACGATTTAATTTAGCTTTTTATTTATTAATTTAATACCGAGTCTGTGGTAGCTGTTTAGGCAAGTTATTTTGATGCGAGAGTGACAAATTTATAGATGTTGCGCGAATGAAGACTATTTTTGTACAGAGTTTAAGGAATAGAAGTAAGTATGAGTGAGCAATTAACAGAGCAGCCGAAATTTACATATGAATGTGTGTTATGCTTAGTTGTGAGCATGAGTGCATTAACAGAGAATGAGAATGACAAAGGCAAGAGATTAACTTAGCTTAACTATTAAATTAGCTGCTGCGCCGAACAGCACCCTTGCTTGTTTTATATAGATATTAAAGCTGTACAACTTTATATTTATTGAAACCTCACGAATGACGATAAGCTCGTTAAGCATTGCTTGTTGCTGAAGGATGAGTCACTGAAGGATCTTGAGCAGCTTAAAGTATTGAGCGAATTTGAAAGG